GTGTTTGCTTCCCAGTCTGCTTCTAGCAAAAGGGGACGTGAAGTATGAACCTGCTCAGCCTGTTCCCCGGCCGATGTGTCAACAGGGAGCTCCTTCTCGTCTGTCTCCGTGCTGCCAAGCTCTCCCATATCAGTTAACACAGAATAGGCAGCGCTAGGCCCGTGCACTGGGGTATGGAAACAGGGTTCCTTGTTAGCTGCTGAGACCCAGCTTTAAATATGCTGACGTTTCCTCTGTCCATTCTAGGAAGGTGCGGGGCTGAGAAAATAAGTGAATGTGTAATTGGTTTTGTGGTTTTGCTTTGTTTCTAATGGCAGAACTCTTTCGCAGTCTGACCAAAAAAAATACATGTATGCAATAAAACTTTGGACAACACATGTTTGAGGAAAGAGGGAAGTTTTCTGAATAACTGAAAGCTACGATACTCTCTTTTTAGCCTCCCTTGTTATTACAGATCTCTCCAAAGCACTTACACAGCTTCTTCTACTTAAAAATAGAATAAACTGAGCAAAAATGGAATTTTCCTCGGTGACTAGGGATCTTTGGTGATTTAGAGACACCGTTTTGAATATCAGCAGAGTAATAGGGATACTATGGTGAGGGAGTTTTGCTCCAAAGGGTGTTGATTCTGGCCAACCCTGAAGGCTGAATTTTAGATCACATTTCTGATATAAGCGTGTTTGTTGGAGCTGGCTCCTCTTTTCTAAAATAGGTGTTGTCACTGGGTGCCATCCGAGTTGATTCCGACTCATAGTGACCCCATGTGACCAAGCAGAACTGCCGCATAGAGTTTCCCAGGCTGTAATATTTATAGACGCAGATTGACAGGTCTTTCTCATGCAGAGCCGCTGGGTGGGTTCCAACTGCCAGTCTTTCTGATTAACGGCTAAGAGCTTAGGCATTTGCAACACCAGGGCTCCTTTTATAAAAGTGGGTAACAAAGACATTTCACAAAAGAATGTTCTGGTTAGTGACACTGTTTTGGGGTCAATGGCATGTTCCTTTGCGCCACAGCTATTGTCGAAGAGAAATAGGGGTTGGCGGTGTACTGAACACCCATAAGACAACAGTAGCAAAAGCATAATGTCAGTTCAATAATTTTATTGGGTCACTTATAACAATAGCAGTGATGTATACTTACGGAGCTTTCTGTGCCTTGCATATTAAAATTGATTCCCTTTCCTTGTTTTTCCTCTTGCTTGCTATTATGGTCCCCTTGGGGCACAAAGGGATGAACCTGGAGCGAAAGTAGCTGCCAGCTCCTCTGTGCCAGGCGTATTGCTTATGCTTTGCATTTAATCCTCGCTGCAACCCGGTGAGCTAAGGCTTCTTGTCTCCATTTCACCTCTGAGGCTCAGCTCCCCGAGGTCACATGACCATTGTTGGAACCCAGGCCTATTGCTGCCAAAGCCTCTCCTCTTCCCATGGGAGATGCCGTCAAGGCTTCGTGGCCTCGTTGGAGTGTTTCTGGAGCCTGTCCTTCCATCCAACCCCATCTAATCATTCAAATCTGTGCCGCAGGAATCTGAAAACGCACCTGCAGAACCTCCGATGGAAGGGGGTGAAGAGCACAGACCAGGACTGCAGGGGGGAGTCTTGTGCCCGCTGCCAGAGAGCGCTGGGGCTCCTGCTGAACCGGGGCGCTGTGTGCCGGGGCTGCAGCTACCGCGTGTGCGCTGAGTGCCGCGTGTTCCTGCGGAAGACCCGCGCCTGGAAGTGCACCGTGTGCTTTGAGGACAGGTGAGCGTACCTGCGGGCGAGCTTCTCCCACCAAGCCACACTGTGGAGAGAGGCC